CCAGGCTCAGTTTAGTCCCATTGTGCTCCTGGTTCAGATATTACACCCGAGCTAAGGTGCACAGGATACTTTGGTAAATGTTAAATGTTCACATTTTTATACAGCTCTTTTCCACCTTCAAGGAACTCAGAGCTCTTTACAACAAAGAATTTAGACTTAGACAAACTTTATTGATCCAGGAAATGATTTGGACACAGTAGTTCACACATCACAATATAATATAATAACAAAGACTAAAAATATGATGGTCATAATAAATACTAAATAAGTAGCAAAAAAGAATCAAGAGTGTCAAATAAGACATAATTGTATAAATGTAAATGAAAAATAAGCACTGTATTTTTTGGACTATAAATTGCACCAGAGTATAAATTGCACCAGCCAAAAAAATGCATAATGAAGAAGAAAAAAGGCCTTTCTGAATCCCGACAGGATGGTTTCGGTGTCACTGAAGTCCAGGCTTTGTCCATCCATCCAGTGACTTCAGGAAAGTTTCATGGTGCATCCTCCCGGTGTCACAAGTTTCTCGCTCACTCCAAACATTCTGTTACCGTTTTCAGATGCAGATTTCACGACTTGCATCTTGTAATCTGGGAGCATTTGTGTTCAGTCTTCTCAGTCATCTTTATAAGTTTGTTAAATGTTAAATTGTTCAGTGGTGCAGAAGTAATGGTGTGATCGACTGACATGATACAGACAGGAGGCTCTTTCTGCAGGAGACAAGCGCAGTAGAGCCAAGTGACAGTGGTCAGTGTTGGGAAGGTTACGTTTAAAATGTATTCCCTTACAGATTACAGATTACTTACCCCAAAATGTAGTTTGTAACGGAATCCATTAAGTTACTTAAAGTGAGTAACGTAATCTGAATACTTTGGATTACTTGATTTGCTGTAGAGAAGCAAAGACGAGGAAATCTTCACATAAGAAGTTTTGTCTGATAAAAGAAAATAAAAAGCCCAGACTCAACCAAATTAAAAATATTATTGATAAAAGATGAGGAGACATGGTCCACACAGCAGGATTTAGTCCTGTTAAATCCTGGTTTTAGACCTAGTTTAGACCTGGTTTAGACCTGCTTTTAGACCTAGTTTAGACCTGGTTTTAGACCTAGTTTTAGACCTGGTTTAGACCTAGTTTTAGACCTAGTTTTAGACCTGGTTTAGACCTGCTTTTAGACCTGCTTTTAGACCTGCTTTTAGACCTGCTTTTAGACCTGGTTTAGATCTAGTTTAGACCTGCTTTTAGACCTGGTTTAGACCTAATTTAGACTTGCGTTTAGACCTGGTTTAGTGTCCGGCAATGAGTGGAATTACAAGAAAAAAAGAAAAAAAAAAAGGGGGATATAGCCCAAAATGTAAAAACAGGAAAATCCCACCGTGTAATCCATTTATTTCAACAAAGTAACTGTAATCCAATTACCACTCACTGAAACAGTAACTGTAACTGAATACTCATAATTTGTACTCTGATTACTTAACTCTGGTACATGTAATCTGTTACTCCCAAACACTGACCGTGGTACAGGAGGAACAGCAGATACTCACACACAAGACTAGAGCGCCCTCTCACGGCTGAACATTTTTATATGTAAGTTGCACCAGAGTATACGTTGCAGGAAACACCCAAAACATGAAAAAAATGCAACTTATAGTGTGAAAAATACAGTAATAAAACATAAAATCTCAGTTATTTACAGGAGGTCATGGGAAGACAGTGCAACAAATTGTCAGGACATAGGGTTATCCGCTGCATAAGAACCACACTCCCATTCACACATTCGTGCATGCAGACACTGGGGGTGAGGTGGGGTAAGTGTCTTGCCCAAGGACTCAACAACAGCATTCGTCTTTGGGAGGTGGAATCACACCGCCAACCTGTGGGTCAGTGGATCTGACCACCCAACCAATGATGTTTATGTCAAGAGCGGGATTTGAACTGCCAACCTCTGGATCAATGGACAAATGCTAACTTGGAGCACTACTCTTTATTTGAACACAATCTGACCAGAAAGAGTTGACTTGGTGACTACTGAAAGCATGAATTTTGTTAGAATTTATGATCTTTGGTATTTAAACTGATGTGAATTACTGTGTATTACAAAAGAGATGAAGTTGTTTCCAGAGTAACTTAATAAATGTACTTGTTTTAAAATATTTCCACTGCCACCAGCTCCTTAAGTTACACACTGCAGCTATTTCTATACTTGGGAAAAGAGGCCCCTGTAAACCATCTTTTCTGCTGCTACAAGTAATCTTTCTATGACATACTTTGCCTTTCTGTTAACAGTTTATGTTATATCGATTTATGACCTTGTATGTACAGTACGCTAAATTAGTTTAAGTCCATTTATGTCCAGCCTTCTATTGTTAGAGCCTTACACAGTGTACATATACAGGAGAGTTTCTTTGTAAAACTTTGTAAGACACTCTCTACCTAGTCTGCAGTCGCTTCTTTCACGACTCCATGAAAGCTTGTATTGATCACATCGCTGTTTAAATCCATTCATTACTTTTTGTAGTTTTCCGACGATTGTCAGACTTTTTTGTGTGTTTGCGTTGTGTCACTATGGTAACAACTGAACATTCCACCAATAGTGATACACACATCAAGGTGTCAAGAGTCACAATGAACACTTACAGAAATGTACGTGCAGAATGAATGCATAGGCACAGGCATTCAGTAACGGGGCATCAGGTAAAATCCTCCACCTGCCACCACTAGGGGCGTGCAAAAATGTTGAAATATTGATATATCATAAATATATATCGTATCGTTTAATATGATGATAAAGTACTGCCTGGGCTGCTGTATCGATATACCGTATTCTCCGGGCTATTAGGCGCTCTGGATTATAAGATGCACTGTCATTGAATGGTCTATTTTCAAACTTTTTTCACAAATAAACCGCACCGGACTTTAAACAAAACACAGCAGTTGGATGGGTCAGTGGGACTTTGTTTGTTGCATTCACGGTGACACTGGGCTTTGTTCAGTTGTGGCGTGTAGGGAGGGTGCTGTCTGGGACCAACGGTTTGTCGGCGTGTTCGCAGTGACTCAGTTGTTCAGTTGTGTCTAGAAGTGGCACATTGCTCTCGCTTTTTCGGTTCGTTCCTCCGTTCCGTTCCTCGTCGGTGTAGAGTGATGAGTGTGTCTGTGGGTGTTTTAGGCTGTGCGGTCGCTGTCTGCTCCGTGTGTGTTTGCGTGCGCTGTGGGTGGTGGGGCTTTGTAGTTTACTGAAGTCGTGCTGGGACACCCGAGTGGATTCATGTATAGGGCGCTCTGGACTGTGGGGACGCACGGCCGTTTTGTGATGAGGTTGGAGGCTTAAGAGTGCGCCTAATAGCCCGGAAAATAGGGTAATGTGTATATAAGAGTGTATATAAAAGTATTTTTTGGTATATTTTACTGAATTGTTTTGTTACAGCTACAGTTGCGTTTCTTGTTTAGAGGAAGGAAACTCGTTTATGGAACATTTTCACTGTTTTGAGGATTAAAATGTTGGTGTTTCATATGAACTTTGCACAAAAAGTGATTTAACAAAAAGTTTTAGTATCACAGTCATCATTTTTACCAGTAACAAACTTTTCCTTAATATGAAGAAATCATATCATATGCTATTTAATTATAAAAAATAATGTTGATAGCAACAACTATGTAATTAACTTTAATGATGGAACCCCAATTGTAAAAGTTGACCAATTGAAATATCTTGGTCTTGTTTTAGACTCACAATTTAATTTTAACTTAGACATAGATTCAGTTACAAAGAAAGCTTCTAACCAGCTGAGGATACTTTACTTAAATATTAACTGTTTCACTTTATCTGTCAGAAAAAGAATTACCTCACAATTACTTCTACCAGTACTCCACTACACAGACATAATTTATCAGAACACCTCAGGATCTAACCTTCGATTGTTACATGTCATTTATAATAGTATATGTAGGTTTGTATTAAGATGTCCCTATAGAACGCACCACTGTCAAATGTATTCATCACTCAACTCTCTCTTACATCCACAAGACAGCTACAATTTGTGTTTAAATGTTATTACTCAAAGTTCCCACCCTACTTAAAAGAGTTTCTGATTTCATTTAGATCAGCATATCATTTACGTCACACTGAACAATTATTTTTTTAATGTTCCTATAATTAAAAAAAGAAATTGGGAGCAGAGCATTTAACTTCAAAGCTCCAAATGAACGGAACAACTACCCTCCTCAATACGACCAGTTACATCAATCCACCAGTTTAAGGCGTCAGTCTTCAGATACTTACAAACATCCTGCTCCTGTTTTCCATTTTTGTTCTATGTACTTTCTGTTGTACATAGAGTTGTTTTTTTCACTAATTTACAAATATAGGTGTGGTGATGATAAAATCAGAGACATGTATGTATATCTTAGGATCCTGGATTGTATAGTATGAATGCTATCTGTGTGTTGTGTGCACGTTGTCTTTGTCTGTTTGTCTTTTGTTCTGTTTTGATGTGTTTTTTTCTTTCTCTTCTGTAAATGCTGCTTTTGTTAATGTATTAGGACTCCCTTGCAAACGAGACGCTACATCTCAAGGGGCTTCACTTATAAATAAATAAATAAATAAATACATTTTTATTGAACTGTATCGAACTGATTTGAAATATATCATATCGAACCAAAGGTGCACTGTATCGAGCTATGTATTGTATCGTGGCCTATGAATCAAGATATGTATCGTATCGGCAACTTCTTATTGATACTAGCCCTCGCCACCACCCTTTAGATACAAATGGGAAATGTTCAGTAGAAGTATGTTTGGAAGTATACATTTATCTCTGGTGTACTTCTAGCTTATCGTAGTATTCTTTTGTGTAGTGATGCCTTCTTGCCCTATAGGTGTGTGTTGTGTTTGGAGCTGTTGTGTACATGTAAATCTGTGTCTGGTCCTTGACACAGGTGGAGTTTAGGCTCAAGTTTCATGTTTGTCCTTCACTGATCCAGGAGCAGCTGAGGAGGACACACTTTACACTACAATAACACCGCTGTGATTCCTACAACGATCACATTTAATGAGGTAATGGCCTTGAAAAACACACACGGAGTTAACTAAATATTAAAGGGTTTTGAAGGGCCCTGATCCAATTTCTGCACCAAAACACAAAACTAAACTACTGCTAAAAAGTGCCAGATTTGAAGACTGTATGCTTTTATTTATGTATTTTTATTCCAAAAACTTGACCCGTGTCTCCAAATCAGCATTACCATTTAGTTCTTTATTCTGAATTAGAAAAACATGGACGTGATGCCAAGTTATTTATGTTATAATTTGGTGTTTTGTTCTTGTAGTAACTTTTTAAAATTATAAGCAGTGGCGCTGGCATTGTACAACACTTTTGCTTAAGTGTTCCATGATTAAAAAGGGCTGTAAAAACACTTATCAAACTACTACTAAACGCTATGAATATCTTGAATTCTCATTGTTTGAATTTGTTGTTTTTTTTGGCAGTGAGAGTTGAGAGGAGGCGACGAGGAGCAGAGTTCTGGAGGTCAGGGATGTGGTCACAAACCTTCATCAATACAGAAGTGAGCGTGAGGTGAGCCTGCTTGAAGTGTGTATGTTTGTGAGCGACTCGTGAGCCCAGATTCTTTTCAAATGTGTTCAAACTGTCAAAGATCCTGAGATAGAATTCTAAATAATAATAATAATGCATCAGTTTTATATAGTGCTTTTCTGGACACTCGAAGACGCTTTAAAGATCGTTCTTCATTCAGACTGACACAAGTGAGGCTGACAATCTGCGCCATCAGCCCCTCCCACCACCATGACTCACTCACACACCATTTTCATATTTTCATTTCTGACTTTTGAAATCATTTTGGAGCCCTAGTATCAGCATTGTACCACCAGAATGTGCAGAAAAGTGAGCGTTGAAATGATGAGGTGAAGGCATACAGCAGGGGTCTGGAGTTCGGGAGCTACCAGCAGCTCTCCACCCTCTTCCAAGTAGCTCTTGTGGATAATAAGTTTGGATAAAATTACCCAGGGTTCCCACTCTCTTTCTCTGACAAAATCTCTAAACTTTTCCATGACTTTTTCATGATCTAAAGTGAATTTTCCATGACTTTACAGCACCTACATGTGTAGAATGGATCAGACTTTTAGGGCTAAATATGAAATGTTAATCCTTTCCACTCACCTTATGCTTTGGGATTATAGTTTTGAACATTCTAAATACTGTCAGCGCATTTATTGCCGTCTCTTTTAAACAAAAAGTGTAGGTGTTTGGAGATAAGTTCTCATGAGACTATTAGGATTAACAGAATGCTGGAGTTGCATGAAAGTCTGGAGCAGGCATGTCCAAACTATGGCCCGTGGGCTAAATGCGGCCCTCTGACAAATTTTTCTTTGATCCTCAGACTGCCAGGTGAATTGGCCCAAATTACCTTGCATCAATTAAAAATGTACTTTTTACTGCAAGTTTTTTGGAAAATGTATCATGATAAAGGTCATATTTAATATTTAGTGTGTGATTTTAAGGATCTTAGCATGAATATAGACTGATGGCTCTTTCTAACGTGGTTAAACATGCACATATTTCAGTTATTCACTGTATTGAGCACCGGTCTACGGCCCTCGATCAGCCCTCTGCTTCGTCTGTGTTTAGATATGTGACCCTTAATGAAAAACATTTGGACACCCCTGTCTAGAGGCAAAAATTTCACATAATTTTCATTGAATTTACAAAATTATTAGATTTTCCAGGATTTCCATGACCCTGGGAAACCCTGATTACCATTGCAAGTGTATAATTTTTATGCCCAATTTGGTGCACCAATAAATGTGATAATGGTTTATGTTTTATAAGCGTCTAACTGTTCCCATCCAATACTTGCTGTGGCTCTTATATTTACTCAGTTTCTTTGTGAATGCTGAAATGAGTAGCTCTACAGGCATTTTTAAACATAGTTCACTGGAGAAAAAAGGTTGGAGACCCCTGGTATAAAGACTTTAAATGTCCTATATTCTGAGAAATGGACTCTTCTGAGCTTTAAACCATGCTAGAATGTTGTTACCTTAAACAGACCTGGAGTTGTGTTTTGTTCCATTCACACAAGTTTGAGTTATACTGCATTATTACTCTGTCTATGTCTCCAAATCTCAAAATGCTCTGTTCTGTCTTGTGAAATCATGAAGTGAACAGTTCCTTTTACCTTTAGGTCATAAGAGATTGGCAATTCCAGGGCTGATATGATCCAAATGATTCTAGTGAAGGTGTATGGAGTTTTAAAACGCAGTGGAGCACTTCCTGTATTGCCGCATGACATTACAAGGAGTGTTTTCTGTTTGAGAGAAGAACTCAACCTAAATTTACAGGGTTTATGTGTTAAACGTGTGAATGAAACAAAACACAACTCCAGGTCTGTTTGTGATGAGGAAACAACATTAGAACAGAGATCTAACAGAATTCTGCTTTTAAACATATATTCCAAATTTAACTGCAATCCTTGTCAGAAAAGAAAAAAAAAAAAAAACACAATTTGATTTTTTTTTTTTTTTTTTTTTTTTTTTTTTATTGTGCAGCCGTAGGATTTTTGTATTAAGTTATCAGTTCATATTTCATTCTTCCCTCAAATGTTACTAGTACAGGAAATGATAAAAATATAAACTTTATTCTAATTTGTAAAAATTAGTCACAATCCAATCGAAAGCCATATTTTCCCCAAACTGAATTGATAAATGGATATGAAGAAAATTGTGTAATATGTGCCTTTAAAAGTTCACTGTGGAACTTCTCTGGCGCATGCTCTGCCTCGTGTTTGTCTGTTATTGTAGTCAACAGTAGTGGACACGCAAGTCTCAAAAATGTCACAACCCGAAGCTTTTTATTAACCAGTTAAATCACGTTTAATATTAGATCCTTCGCGTTTTTGCGGTTTGCAGTTATGGTCTTTATGGACACTTTATCACCTGGAAAGTTGCACAGTGTCTTTCACCTGAGACCCCTGTGCCTCTCTCTCCCACAGCTCGCGCTGTGGACCGCGCACAGACACGCGGACAGATGGACACACGGCGCTCGCGCTGGAGCTCTGAAGGACACCGTAGCGCGCAGCTCATAAGCGGCTTTAATCGGTTAATTTGGCTGCAGTGGCCTTTAACGCGGCTGGTCAAAACTTGAACGAAGACTTTCCCCTCCAAGACATTGTTTCTACACGTTTTAAGGAGTTTTGTGTTGTTTTTGTGAAGATTGTTTCTGTTTTACAATGACTGCATGAGTTTGGAGCGTGCGCCTGGTTTGGTTCGTCTTTTACGCACAGCCAAAGCGCACGAAGCTGTGTCCCGGGACTTCACCGACGCCATGGCGCCTGCGGGGACGGACGGGGAGCGGACCTGATGAGCGGTGACGAGGCGGAGGAGCCGCGGTGGAGATGGTGGTTAACGGGACCGTGGGAGAGGGCGCGGACGCGGACTTGGAGCGCGCGGCGAGCGGCCATAACGTGCCCGCGCTCGTGTTCGGGGTTCTGCTCATCGTCGTGATCATCTGCGGGAACGTGCTCGTGTGTCTGAGCGTGTTCACGGAGCGCGCGCTCAAGACCACCACCAACTACTTCATCGTGAGCCTGGCGGTGGCGGACCTGATGCTCGCGGTGCTCGTGCTGCCGCTCTTTGTGTATTCAGAGGTGAGTGCGCGTGCCGCGGTGAATAAGGCGCTTACACCCGGCCAAAGGGCACGAGGGGATGGACCACCTGTAGCACCACTTTCAGTTTGTGATCTGCAGGTCACTGATGCTATTACAGCTTCTAAAGCCACGCTCCGGAGGACACGGGGGGACACAGTCTTAAAACACGTCTGTTATCAATAGTACTTTCTCTTTAGGTAATTAAACACTGCGGGACATCTCACTGACACCCATAGGCTACTGTACTGTAATGACGTCACTCGTGTACACGGTGTTTTACAGTGGAACATAAACCAAGAGTGAAATCATAATAGAAATAACAGCAACAAAAATATGCCCAAAAAGGACTGGGAAAAAGAAAATTGATTTAATCCCACCCCCCAGTCTTCTAATCTAACACAATGAGCTTTCTTTTGCATTTTTCAGGCATTTTAGTTGTAGTTGTAGTTGTAGTAGTTTATTCAGTCATTTTGCAGCACAACAACACAAAACAAAACAAAACAAAACATCGACACAACACCATGGATCATGACAGAAATGGTTTAGGCTGATTTAAAAAGTACTTATAACACCAAACCCTGTGAAACAATGACAGAATTCCAAGAAAGAAAAGCAGCTTATGAACAGCAAGTTTGTGTTTACAATTTCACTTACGACTTACTGTAAATATAAGAGACAAAATATCAATTAAAACAAACACAATTTAATGTATAATTCATTCATTCCAGAGCTCTATATGTTTCAAAACATAACGCTTTATACTCAATTTATTCCATATACCAGCCCCTCGACCAGAAATGCAATCACTTTTTTTCTTAATTTTTATCCCCATTTTTTTAACGACTCTCTCTGCACAGATAACTCCTGTACACAAGGAGGAAGCAGATGATTCTAGGCCTTGTGCATCACTACAGCTGTACTCAGGTCAACAAGATAAAAAATTTAAGTACCTTTAGTGTAACAAAAAGAGGATTTGTTGGTGCATATAATTTGCATGATTAATAATCCTAATAACCTTCTTTTGGAGTAGAAACATTGTATTAATATTTGATTTATAAGTATTCTCCCATATTTCCGCACAGTAGTTTAGATATGGAAGGAATAAACTGTTATATAGTAAATTACATTTTTAAAAAGTAAAATTTACATTAAACTATAAGAACTATTTACAAGTGCGGACTAATAGCCACTGTTATAGTTTGGTAACAGAACTGTATTTCAATAATACATAAGGATAGTAACGGCAATGGGAACACACAGCAGATACAAGTCATGTAATGAACGGCACAAACAACAATGTTATGGAAAGGACAAGGCAAAGCAGAACTACAGAACACAGTATGTTCTAATAAGACTCACTCTCGAAATCCTCCTGGGACCCAAAGAAAGAAAGGGTATTGCAATTTTTATTTAATTTTTTTGTGATTTTCTATTTGGCAGTAAATGAACACCTTCGCATTTAGATCTTTTATTTGTATTTATTATTTTGTAACATGTCCTCTGTAATGGACACTGGGACAGTTAACCTGACAAAACACATTTTTTGATAACCAACCTCTCTGATAAGCTTCTACAGTCACCTCAAAAAGTGTTTAGATTTCCTTTTAATTTCTTTTATTATTATTATTATTATTATTATTATTATTATTATTATTATTATTACTATAGTGCAGCCACAAACTATCTCCCATTGAGTTCATGTTTTATCTTGAGCATGCTTTAACCCAATAATCCTCCAGCCCTGTTTAGGCAGAGGAACCTCATCCCCACATTAAGAGTCTGTCTGAAATCACTTAAAAGATCGACTGATTGACTCAATGTCCACTATAAAGGACCCACATGAATGGGCCAGGTCTCAAGAAAATACTGTGATCAGATCATATGTTTATGTAATAGCTTGAATGTATGTATATTTTGGTTTCATTGCTTGAGACGTGGATCCAGACTGTTCCACACTTTTACACCACATACAGACCTCTAAAATTTCCATACCCTCTAAAATGATGAGTTCTCTCTCTCATTTTGAACTTTGTAGATAACTTAGTAGTAAATTGCTGAATGCTCTAAATAAAATGACACTGAGGTGGTGTGGACATTGTACAGAGGGAAAACAGAAACAGGCTGAGATTTTATGTCACTTTGTCTTTAAATCTCCTTTGTTTTTCATTCCTGTTTAGCTTCCTGCCAGATTCTACCCTTATGCCCACTGTCTGTCTTCTATACCACTGTCCTCCTCTGCACCATATACTCACTGTCCTCTGTCCCTCCTGTGTCCCTCCACCGTACATGTCCAAACCATTGCCACTGTCTTTTTCCCAAATATGGGATGAGAATAGACGTGTGTCTGTGTTCAGTCTCTTTTCTCGAGGCCTGAGGTTGTGAGTTTAAAGTTGCTGTCAGCTCGTTAGTGTGTTTGAACTGCCAATGACCTTCTAAATAGGCCACGCCCCCTCGCCATAGCACCTGCTCCACCCCTCAGCGGGGGATGGGGCAGGCTTTGATGTTCCCAATCAGGATCTGTTCAACTTCCTGATTATGATAATTGATCATGTATAGATATTTGAATCAAACTATTCTGAGATAGCAGCAGAGCAACACACAGAGCACACAGAACTGTACTGTAATGTATAAACTATAAATATACAGCATTTATCATCTGGTCAAGTCATGAGTTAGATCTGTGCAGAGGCGAGCTCATTGTAAAGTCATGAGTTAGATCTGTGCAGAGGCGAGCTTATTGTAAAAATGCCTGTTTAGAACTGAAGCAAGATTGAACTGATTTGATTAATTTTAGTGTAAAGCCACTGCTTTACTGTGCCTAATATGAAAATAATAATACTGATATAATAACACTGACACAACAACATGACCTTGTGAATGTGACTCTTAATAACACTCAGGTCAGACGGATGTGTGGAGCAGAGCTCTATGCGTCAGTCTGGAACGACTCTCATTGAAAGAGATTGGAACCAGTGTTCAAACAATACTTCACACTGATTGGTCGAAGCGTCACAACAGCAACTCGACAAAAAATCTAACTTTAGTTACATCCAGTTAAGAGCAAAGCACAGACATCTTCCCTGTCCTCAAATGCACAAAGCACTTCCCTCTGCATGTTTTTTTTTTTTTTCACAAACAAAATATTTATTATGTCTGCCGGCGTCACCATGTTTGTTTGGGCTTGTTCACCACACTGCTGCTGTGTGATTGGTCAGTTTCCACACCACCCTACCACATACTCACACTCCAGCTGGAGCTGATGGTCAGAGTTTGTGAATTCACAAAAATCACAATAATTCATTTTGCTGCCAAGGTTCTGCTGCTCTATCAGCACCTACTCAAACATAAATGCACTAAAACATGTCGTTAAATCTCTTAGTTGAGTTTAAAGTATCCATTTATTTTGTCCATGACCGACACAAGGGCACAAATATCCTCAAACACTTATTTAAACATTTTCCATTTTCCCACTTCTTTATCACTTCTTTTTGTATCACTTATTTTTAACAATATACTCCATGTTCAAGTTTTGCATATCTTCATAAATAAGATCAGTATTTCACTGATATTATGTGCCCACGTTTACCCCATGTACACACTGACTGAAACTCTCAGCACATGTTTTTGTGTTGTCCTCTGACTGTTGTATTTACTAGGGGGCTTTTGTCTGTCTCCAGCCCAAACTCAGCCCTGTATTTGCTTCTGTCTGTGAACTCTTCACCCAAACCAGTCATTAAAGTCCGCTCCACTGACCACACTTTAAATGAGTGAATATTTGTCCCATAATGAAGCAGCACTGTGTAGGAATCTGTCCAGGGGTCTAAGTTCACATCGCGGCCCCTCTCAGACAATAAGACCCCAAACATGAGAGGTCAGAGGTCACGTATGGACATTTAGCACATTTCTGTCCACCGTAATGACATCCGCTTTTATACTCATTGTAACTGTACATAATCATTTGTCTTTATTTAGCTTACATAACAATTGTAATGAGGATTTATTCTTGATTACAGAAACATTGGACATGATGGCCAAGTGGATCATAATGTGGTGTTGTGGTTCTCAACATGATTATCCAGTCAGAAAGCACAATGAGCCTCACATGAGTCTCACATTTGGGATGCCATTTTCAATGTTTTCAAACCTAAAATATCTCTCTGATCTGAACGGTCATGCCCCAAACCCCAGCGCCTGCAGCCAATCAGGAGTCAGTGCTAGTGCAGCCTCTACAGCTTTCTCACTCTGAGTCATATGCATGTCTTCAAAAACTGAAAAGAAAAACTTGTAAAACAGCAGCGAATCAGTTCTATGTTTTGAACAAAAAGCCAGTTGACTTGTTCAGCTGCTTGTGTCCAATATTTTATTTGACAAAGAACAAAATGTAAATGAAATGCTCCGACCCACCCGTTTAACCCATCACAACCCCCTAAAGACGTTTGGTTGGTTATATGTTGTTCTGAGAGGTCCATCCTCCGCACACTTTGTTCTTCCCGGGGAAAGCGCTTCTCAGGCCAAGGCTCCTAACATCACTCCCTGCTCCAGCTCCTCTGAGCCCGGACAGAACCAGAGCTGCTCCCGCTGGGTCAGGACTCTGACTTGGATCTAGTCTGACTGTAGCATTTCTCACACTAGGCTAAATGCAGTTCATTTTATAAGTTGAATCAGTTGAATAGGGCCTATTCAGTTTAGACTGTCTTTTTCTTTTTTCATATTTGAGTCTATGTCACTCAACAATTCAGAGATGGGGACCCCCGAATATTATGGTTCTCAGAAAGCCAAATGTTTGTAGGCAGTACTTGGTGTGGAGAGTTTGAGAAGCACTGACATTTTACAAAGTTCCATATAAAATCATAAGGTGTTGATTAACTAATGAGAATGACACTTACTTGTATTTGTGGTGTGTTTGTGTGTTTGTGTGTTTATGTGTTTATGTGTTTGTTTTGCAGTTTGAGGACGGCGTGTGGACTCTGAACACGACTCTGTGCGACTGTCTCATGACCATGGACGTGATGCTGTGTACGGCCTCCATCTTCAACCTTTGCGCCATCAGCATCGACAGGTCTGAGGATTACATATGATCTATAATCTATAATATATCTAGGACTACACTAGGACTAAACCAGAACTAAGCCAAGACTAAACCAGGACTAAACTAGGACTAAACCAGAACTAAACTAGAACTATACCAGGACTAAACTGGGACAAAACCTGCACTAAACCGGGACTAAACCGGGACTAAACCGGGACTAAACCGGGACTAAACCAGGACTAAACCAGGACTAAACCAGGACTAAACCAAAAAATATCTCACAAAATAAGAACTAAACCCAGACTAAAATACCAGAGCATGAGTCGCATAAAAACTTGAACTTGTCCTTAGTCTGAGCTGAACCCGCGATGCTCCCAGACTTTAAATCGCTCTGATCTTGTCCTTATCCATGAACGTGTCCTCACTGTAGATTTATGCCATACGCACAGACAGGTGAGATTGAACAGAGCAGTACAGGGGACCACCATCGCTCTCCGCTGTCACCTCTGTGGGCAAACCCGGGGTAAAGCAGGTGATCGGGGGGCTTTTTCTGTCACTACACCGGCGTGGAGTGACCTTTAGCTCTGGGGTCATCGAGATAAATGATTACAAATATGGAGGGTTTGTGAGCATCATTTATAGTCCCAGACAAGTCCTTGTTTGAGAGAGGAAAGGGCAGAGGGGGTGACGGTGGCATCATCGATAAGCCCTCGCCGTCATACAGGAGGTTACAGGGTCATTTGAGGAGCACATGTGGGTCAAGGCTAAATCAGAGTGAAATATTTGTTTAAAAAATAAGGTTCAAGCGAGTCTAAACCACATCTAAACCAGGTCTAAACTAGAACTTACACATATTACACAAAATTGACTCTTATAATGTTGTTACCTCTTCAAAAACAGACCTGGAGTTGTGTTTAATTTCATTCACACAAGTTTGAGTAACCCTGCATTATTAGTCTGTCTACATCCCCAAAGCTCAAAATGCTCTCTTCCACCTTGTGATGTCATGTAGTGGTAGTTTTCCAGTTAACTGCTATTCTTTTGGTAGTCTTGTAGTCAAGACCGCACTAATCAAGACCAAGACCAGTCCAAGAACACAGGGTCCCGAGACCAGGACAAGACCAAGACCTCTGAGGGTCAAGATCGAGACAAGACCAAGACCACGGCCCGTCGAGATCAAATCAAGACCATCTTTGTCATTTTTGACATTTATTTATATTTTACAGTTATTTTGGCACATATATATATATATAAATTTTTATCCAGTCCAGGACTAAACCAGGATTAAACCAGGACTAAACCAGGTTTAAACCAGGTCTATACCAGGACTAAACCAAACCTAAACAAGGGCATAGGTTTGCAACAGTGACGGACCAATATTTGGGGAAGACAAAATAGTCCCTACCAATATTTGACATTTTATTTCAATAAACAATAATATACATTTATTCTGATATTTTTCCAAACTCAATAGTATTAATTGAACAAGTTTTACTTCACATTTTGTTTATTAGACGTTCTGAGGTGTATTTAGTGATATGACGACAGGGTTACTGTCGCTGTTTCATTGGCTGTAACAGAGTGATGTCATTAGTGGAGCCAGGAGCCTAAACTGCGGCCCTGCACCTGACGATGGCAGCTTGAGCAGCGTGAGTGAAGAAGCTACACCAAACGATGAAAAACGTTTCAAATGGAACTTACTCCTTCTTCAATTAAACTTGCCTTATAATGAGTCAGTTCAGAAAAAGAGTGACTATCACCACAAGTGCACCTCCCAAACGGAGCCCTACTCGTGCGCTGTGAGACCCCGACTCTACTGACAATATTCCATGGAAAAATGCACAAACATGACCTCACAAATATCTCATCACCAACAAGCAAAGGGAAATCTGATATAAACTTCTACATCACTGTTATCCACTAAAGAATCATCTTAGAAGGACAATGAACACAAACTGTGCATTTTGCAAACTGAAAAAGTTTTTAAAAAAGAAAAAAAAAACTTGGAAAAAGTAAAGTAAAGTGTTTAAGTATTCGGCATAGTGTGACTGTGTGTGTGTACAAGTAACCTGTCAATTGGCTTCATGGGGGGTGAAAGGTGTGGGGGCTGAGACCAAACCTACACTCTTGGCTTTTATAAATCTATTTCAATTTTATCGAGCCATCATCGAGTGTCAGACCTTGAGACCAAGACAAGACAACGTCAAAACATGGTCTCAAAGCCAGTCTTGAAGCCGCTCTCGAGCATTACAATACTACCGTTTGGTCAGTAGAGATTGGAAATTCTAGGACTGAAATTATCCAAATGAATCTAGTGAAGGTGTGTGGAGTTTAAAAACACAGTTGAGTGCTTCCTGTATCAGTACATGACATCACAAGGTGGAATAGTGTGTTTTCAATTTGAAGGAAGAACACAGCCTGAATCTGCATGTGACATGTGAATGAAACAAAACACAACTCCAGGTCAGGTGTTTGTGATGAGGAAACGACATTATAACATACATCATAAAATTGTGCAATACAAACAGACAACCTTAATTAGGACTAAACCGGGACTAAACCAGACCTAAACCAGGATTAAACCAGGACTACACCAAGACTATATCAGGACTAAACCAGACCTAAACCAGGCCAAAACCAAGACTAAACCAGGACTAAACCAGGAATAAACCAAACCTTAAACCAGGACTATACCAGGAATAAACCAGACCTAAACCAGGACTAAACCAAGACTAAACCAGACCTAAACCAGGACTAAACCAGGCCTAAACCAGGCCTAAACCAGGCCTAAACCAGGACTAAACCAAGACTATACCAGGACTAAACTAGACCTAAACAAGGACTAAACCAGACCTAAAGGACTAAACCAAGACTAAACTAAACCAGGACTAAACCAGGACTAAACCAGACCTAAACCAGGACTAAACCAGGACTAAACCAGACCTAAACCAGGACTAAACCAGGACTAAACCAGACCTAAACCAGGACTACACCAAGACTAAACCAGACCTAAACCAGGACTACACCAAGACTATATCAGGACTAAACCAGGCCAAAACCAAGACTAAACCAGGACTATACCAGGAATAAACCAGACCTAAACCAGGACTACACCAAGACTAAAGGACTAAACAGACTAAACCAGGACCAAGACTAAACCAGGACTAAACCAGGAATAAACCAAACCTTAAACCAGGACTAAACCAAGACTAAACCAGACCTAAACCAGGACTAAACCAGGCCTAAACCAGGACTAAACCAAGACTATACCAGGACTAAACTAGACCTAAACAAGGACTAAACCAGACCTAAACCAGGACTAAACCAAGACTATACCAGGACTAAACCAGGACTAAACCAGACTAAACCAGACCTAAACCAGGACTAAACCAAGACTAAACCAGACCTAAACCAGGACTACACCAAGACTAAACCAGACCTAAACCAGGACTACACCAAGACTATATCAGGACTAAACCAGGCCAAAACCAAGACTAAACCAGGACTATACCAGGAATAAACCAGACCTAAACCAGGACTACACCAAGACTATATCAGGACTAAACCAGACCTAAACCAGGCCAAAACCAAGACTAAACCAGGACTAAACCAGGAATAAACCAAACCTTAAACCAGGACTAAACCAAGACTAAACCAGACCTAAACCAGGACTAAACCAGGCCTAAACCAGGACTAAACCAAGACTATACCAGGACTAAACTAGACCTAAACAAGGACTAAACCAGACCTAAACCAGGACTAAACCAAGACTATAACCAGGACTAAACCAGGACTAAACCAGACCTAAACCAGGACTAAACCAGGACTAAACCAGACCTAAACCAGGACTAAACCAAGACTATACCAGGACTAAACCAGACCTAAACCAGGACTAAACCAGGACTAAACCAGACCTAAACCAGGACTAAACCAGGACTAAACCAGGACTAAACCAGGCCTAAACCAGGACTAAACCAGGACTAAACCAGGACTAAACCAAACCTAAACCAGGACTAAACCAGGACTAAACCAGACCTAAACCAGACCTAAACCAGGACTAAACCAAGACTATACCAGGTTTAAACCAGGACTAAACCAGGACTAAACCAAGACTATACCAGGATTAAACCAGGACTAAACCAGGACTAAACCAAACCTAAACCAGGATTAAACCAGGACTAAACACTATGAATCCAGATGGGGTCAGTTTCTATCATTATGAATTATGATCATTATAAAGCGTAGCGTTTGAGAGCGGCACATAAAGTACAGTGTATGACATAATAAAGCCACCATCGTTAAACAGGACGTGAGCTGATGGTCAATTAGTCGTCCTGTGTGTTTCCTATGGGAGCGGCGAAGCAGGGAGCTGTTAATGGCTTCGAGAGGTCTGAAGGGAAAACAGTATGGCAAATATCCCACTATACATTTGTGTCTGAATGTACTGGAGCAAGGACTACATACATTAATACAGCTTTCACATCACATTCAACACAAGAGATCGACCAATATGGGAAAAAAACCCTAGTCTTAAATCAGTAATCAGCTTTTCAGAGCTTCTAACCATGGTATAATTGTTTCTTCTTCTCATTTACTCTCTCGAAGTTGTATTTGGAGTGATTTGTGCATGTTTGAGCAATCTTTAATCACTCCATTTTGCCAGCCAACTCCTGTTTTCCCTGCTCTGTACTTGCTTCATTCTTCAATTTTATTTTCTTAATCTGTGATACACATCTGGAAACTGTCTGACCTCGCAGCCAAAGGATTCCTTAGCAGTTGGCGGGTACTTTTTTTATTTAACCAATCGCTCGTGACGTATGTAATGCACCAAAAAATCCCTTAGGAAGAAGGGCAATAATGTCTTTCCCCTTGATAAAATTCACCAGCGTTAAATTCTCGATCTCGGGAATCATTGCCAACACAGAATGTACCATATTTTCCGCACTATAGGACGCATTCATAAGTCTCCAACCCCATCAAAAAACGACCGCACGCCCTACAATCCAGAGCGCCCTATACACGAATCCATGCACTGAGCAGACAGCGACCGCACAGCGAAAAACACCCACAGACACACTCATCACTCCACACGGACGAGGAACGGAACGGAGGAACGAACCGAAAAAGCGAGTGCAATGTGCCACTTCTAGACACGACTGAACAACTGAGTCACTGCGAACACGCCGACAATCCAGCGGTCCCAGACAGCACCCTCCCTACACGCCACAATTGAGCCGAGAGTCACCGTGAACGCGCCAAAGAAAGTCCCACTGACCCATCCAACTGTTGTGTTCCGATTAATACGTCCGGTGCGGTTTATTTATGAAAAAAGTTTGAAAGTAGACCATTCAATGACCTTATAATCCAGAGCGACCTATAGTGCAGAAAATACAGTATGTCTTTGTCTACATCCATCTCAACCGTTTTGTTTACTTTTGTGCTGTACCAAAAAAGGAACCCAGACAGGCGCTTGAGTTTGACGTCACGGTTTCACAGCTCTTCACTGATTGGCAATTTTTGTACTAATGATGTAATGACGTTTACGGCGACGTCAGCTCCCATTTGCACTACAGTTTTCTAACGCTGAAGTCTCTGGATCGGTTTCTTTTGGCGGCTGTGGTCGGTCTCATGCAGTGTTGGGACTTTCGGCTCTTTTATGGGATCTGAATCTTTTGGATCCATTCATGTCAAAAAGCCGTTCAAAAGAATATTACTACTAGGGACGGGTATTCGATGAAATTTTCTTAATCGATCGTCGAGAAAATTAACGATCGATTATCGATTAATCATTAACGTTTTTATATTAAAATGATCATCATTATTATTACTATCTGCACTACTAATCTGCATAAATAAATTCAACTTTACGACAAATAAACCGTAACGACTCTAGAGCCACATCAGCCCGTTTGACATTATAATGTGTTTAATTCAGTTTTGCGCAAGTCTCACAGAAACAAAACTTAAAACCGCATCGCTAATTTGCATAAATTAAGAGAAGATAAAACTACAGCTCTTGTGTCGCTGATGCGGTTCAATTTCTGTTGGATTAAAAGACATGACTCAGTGGAATACAGGTTAGTGTGACCATATTTGCGTTTGTCAAAACCGGGACAGGTTTTTAGGAGGTGGGGACTCGTCATCCACATTGCACGACTCTCACCTGGCAAAGCTTTTTCCCACTGGACACTGAAACATATGTGCTGCTTTATACACTGTGCACACGGACCTCCCACTTGTCCCGACTGGAACGGAAAGTGTGGAATTTCTTGTACAAGTCATCGTTAAATACGCATATGCACTTCGGTACGTTGCAGGCGGACTGACTGTTTGTGCCTCGCTCCTTCTGAGTGCAGAGAGACACATGTACAGACCCCTGTTTGGTCACACTACGCACAGCAACCTGCATTCGGTTTGTCCATTAAAATTTATGTAATCAATGAAATTCTTAATGATCAATTATCGATTAATCAACTAATCATGCCCATCCCTAATTACTACTATTTATTTATGACAGAAAACAATGTGAGAACTCATTTGATCTACAAATTGATCACAGAGAGAAATGACCAAGGCATAAATCTGTTTAAAATGGTTCAAATTGAGAGTGAGAGTGTATCGTCATCTAAATAAAACATTGCACTTCAGTAACAATTACTTTAAAACTGTTATTATGATCCCAAATGTTTTTTATGCACAAAACTCTCTGTGCTGATTCTTGTGTTGTTTCAGGGTTAATCAGTGTATAAACGCATTCAAATTAGAAACAATAAGATTCTGTTCTTTATAAAAATCAGACCCAGTTCCAGCGGTTCAACATTAAGGAACTGTTCAGAAGAGTCGACTCATTCACGAACATCACATCACTGGTCTCTTGTTAGGATGCAGGTTTGTCACGCTCTATGGTCCCATTCCAGACTCATCTGGAGTCGAAAGGGATGTAGGTGGGACTCGCTGCTCTGGTAACCATTATCTCTTTGACTCTTCAACGCCTCGGACCAAACAGGTCGGAAACACCAACCTCAGATAAGACTGCAGCAGGATTAAACCAAAGCGTAAAGGTTCTATACGACGCAAAATTGACTCCTGTGAGCTTTAAACCTTGTTATAATTCTGTCACCTCCTCAAAACCACACCTGGAGTAGTGTTAAGTTTCATTCACACATGTCTGCTTTAAGTCCGTCTACATCTCCAAAGCTCAAGATGCTCTGTTCCACCTTGTGATGACCTTTAGTTCAGTAGAGATTGGCTAATCCAGGGCTGAAATGATCCAAATGATTTTAGGGAAGGTGCACTGAGTTTTAAAACATAGTGGAGCGCATCCTGTCTTACCACGTGACATCACAAAGTGGAACAGAGTGTCTAATAATGAAAGGGTTTTTCAAACATGTGTGAATGAAGCAAAAAACAACTCCGTTTAATGTTTTTGAGGAGGTAACAACATTTTCAAGGTGCATTGTGTAACTTTTCTGGTGGAGGGTCTGTCAAATGCTTTTCTCCATGGAGATGTGAATACCTTGCCTGGAATGTTCCACAGTATGGTATTAAACCTTTGGAAACCAAACCAGACAAGTTACAGGTCAGATCTGTGGAGAGGCGACCCCACTTACAGTCAGAATGTCTGTTTTTCTAGGTATTTTTGAGCGATAAAACCACCTGGAATTGAATAAATGTAAAGTAGAGAGCTTTTTAATATCATACTGCGGAACATTCCAGGCAGAGCAGTTACATGTCCAGAGAAACAAGCAGGTGATGACCCTACAACCAGATGTACCATGACTTAAAGCTCCGACATTGGGTTTTGTGGGAGAAACAAAGTATGGAGATATTGTAAACTTGATTATTCTTTTGGGGAAGAAATTTATTTTTAAGGCGAAAAATGCTGAATCTATAAATATTGTTGTTTTTTGTCAGTTTGTCGAGCATTGTTATGTTTTGGAGGAGTGTGTGTTCAGTCTGAAAAGGATAAAATGTCTCATCAAAAACAATGGGCAAAAATGCTGCATTTTCATAGTTGGGGTGAGAAATTCAGAAACGCTTTGATAGAAATAAGTTTTTTTTTTAATAGGTTTGTTTCCATAACTTCTGTGTATTCAAATGTATCTATGTCTGCGTGTGTGCAAGTATGTATATGGATATAAAATGTAGGTATGTTAATACATTTTGAGATGTTTATGAGTATGTATGTATGTGTATGTTTGTACCATATTTTCAGGACTATAAGTCGCTCTGGAGTATAAGTTGCACCAGCCAAAAAATGCATAATGAAGACAAAAAACATATATAAGTCGCACTGGACTATAAGTCTCACTTTTTGGGGGAAATTTATTTTATAAAACCAGAGACCAGGAACCGATATTTCATGTTAAAAGTCAAGTTCTAGTAATAACAACAGAACAGAGAACAACAGACTGTTAATGTCACATATGAACAGTTCTTCGGATAACTATAGTATAAACAACAGAACAGAACAAGTTTACCAAACTCTCCATCTCACTCCAAATCACTAAATCCATTCAATTCTTCAGCCTCGGTGTCACTTCTTGAGCAACTCGGAGACCTCCGGAGGTAAACAGAGCACCGCTTCCTCTTCTGTGTTACTGTCTTCAGACTCAGCATCAGTTCCAGTTAGAATTATTCTGACCTTTCTGAATCCTGACAGGATGGTTTCGGTGTCACTGAAGTCCAGGCTTTGTCCATCCATCCAGTGACTTCCAGGAAAGTTGCATGGTGCATCCTCCTGGTTACTGTGAGGCTGTGTTCTCCATCCCCGCTTTCCACCAGTTCATCACAAGTTTCTCACTCACTCCAAACTTTCTTTCTGCTGCTCGATTAACATTTTCGGCTGAATATTTCGCTACTGGCAGCAGGACAGCGGCCCTTTATGCAGGAGACATGCGCAGTAGAGTGAAGTGACAGTGGTACAGGAGGAACAGGAGCAGCAGATACTGACACACAAGACTAGAGCCTCTCGCCGCTTCAGTGTGAAAATTTTAATACATAAGTTGCACTGGAGTAAAAGTTGCAGGAAACACCCAAATCATGAAAAAAGTGTCTTATAGTCCAAAAAATACAGTATATCTAATATGTACTGTGTGTGTGCGTGTGTGTGTGCGTGTGCGTGCGTGTGTACACGTATACATATATATAATGTGTTTATGCATGTGTAAGTGTAACGTAATTTGTCTTTGCATGTTGGTAAAATAAAAATAAAAAATAAAAAAAGCTCACAACAGTCAATTTCGTATATAATGTAGGACCTTAAAATACTCTTAATTTCCTTCCAGATTCATTGCTGTCTCCATCCCTCTGAACTACAACCGCAAACACGTGGACCTTCGCCAGTGCGTGCTCCTGTCCGCCACCTGGATCCTGGCCCTGGCCGTAGCCTCCCCCATCATCTTCGGACTCAACGACGTGCCCCATCGCGACCCAGGCGAGTGCAAACTGGAAAACGACGACTACGTTCTCTACTCCTCCGTTTGCTCCTTCTTCATTCCCTGCCCCATCATGCTTCTTCTTTACTTCGCCATGTTCCGAGGTCTTCGCCGATGGGAGGAGGCGAGGAAAGCCAAGCTACGGAACAGTATTCAAGCGTGTAGGAAGCTCCAGGAGGCGGCAGCTTCTCTGCCCCCGCTAGCATCACTACCGCCACTCCTGCCCCCGATCATCGAGAGGGACCTGGCCGAACCAGGGCCAGAGGAGCCAGGGGACAAAGCGCAGACCCCTTCGGATTTCCCTGACGGGCGCATGAGGGCCGTGAGTCTGGCAGAAATCAAGTTCGACACGGATCCGAGGAGGAGGAAGAGAGCCAAAATCAACAACAGGGAGAGGAAGGCCATGAAGGTGCTGCCTGTGGTAGTGGGTGAGTCAGTGTGATGTTGAATGTGTACTAGAAATTCAAACTTGATTTCAGTATTAAGGAATAGTCTTGATACTCAATACTGATTCTGATACCATCATGATAATAAAAAGCACTTTTTATATAGGTAATCTCGCAGTGGTACTTGGGTGTATACTAGTCTAGTCTATGTGCTCTTATACTTGGTCTGATACAGCTACGATCTTCTGTCTGTTCAGGAAAAGTTCTGCTCTGTCCTGTCAGTGGAACTTTTTTAGTATCAAGTATTTAGTTTATTTTTAGTATCAATTATTATCAAATTTTGAATACTTTTGGCAATTATATTGACCAGTGGAGGGTAAAACTCCCTTACATTTACTTTTAGAAAAATGTGTTTTTCTCTGTATTAGTTTAGTTTATATAAACCATACTTTTACTCCAATTTCAGCAATATATTTTTCAGTAACAATACTTTTACATGACTAAATGTTTTAGTTACTATTCCAACTGTGTTGTCAACGTGAAATTATTTGAACATCTGTGTTTTTTGAGCCCCCTTCTTTACATACGGTTTCCTTCAGTGACTGGGGAAAACTGTAAGAAGCAGTGGGCCACACAGAGCAGTGCCCAGGGACCAGCTCCACTTCTGGACCTAGGATCATATAGCAGGGATAAGAGTACTCATATCAAAGTATCAATATAATATGTTGAATATATGAGATTTTATAAATTACATTTTGTATTGAAAAAGATGAGGAGATGGAATCACGTTGATTTCCTAATATTTAAAGTTATTTTAATGATGTATTTTTTGCAGAACTCTTTTATGGGCCCTTCTATCATTAGGTTTGGCCCTCAACACTCTCATGTGCATTCATATAGGCTGCCAAAGAAAATTCTTCAAGCCCCCTGTGGTAGTGGTATTGACCAACTAGTTCATAATCAAGAGGACCACATCATTTGATCATGTTAATAACATTTCAAACTCAGCTTCAACATCAAAGAGCAAGCTTCATACTCAATTTTGATCAAACTGATCAGAAAAATCAGTGTACAATATAATGTCATTTTCAACACAAAATAATAGTAGTCTGAGTACGTGTCCTGCCTCCGAGCTGCACTTCATTTTGAGTCTGTTCAGATGTAATATGGACCTCCTTTTGTTTAAATCCAGGTCGAACAGGTGTGACCTTTGGCCCACTTTCTCTTTACCCAGACTCCCTCAGCAGACCATTTATTATGTCACCGTGTTTTGCCCTCAAGGCTCTACATGGAGTAGGGAGTAGTAGGGTCGAGCAGTTTAATCAAACATCTTTATCAGATACATAAACACAAAAGGTTTTCAAGAACTACATTTAGTTCAGAGTGCACATCTGAAACATGTTCAGGAGCATTAAAGATGCACTACGTAACTTTCCACTTCTCTCCATGGAGATGCTATGTGCCTGGAATATATTTATCTCCTTGTATGCAAGCAAGGACACCACCAGATAGATTTACACGTCTTATCTGTGGAGCAGCAAGTGCACTCACCATAAGGTCATACCTGCTTGTCAAAGCAGTAAAATACAGCAGGACCAGATAGGATTTTGGACGAGAGACCGCTGGGAATGCCAGGTGCCACGATGGGGCAACACTGGCAAAAACTGTTGTGTCCTTAGGCAAGACACTTCACTCATATTGCCTAGTATGAATATGGGGCCAATGGCGCAGATTGCCAGCCTCACAGTCACAGTCTGCTCCAGCTGTGGCTAGAGTAGTGTTTTACCACCACTGAGTGTGGAGTAAATTAATAATTCTGTAAAGGGCCTTTGAGTGTCCAAAAACAAAATGCTGTATGAATCCATTAATGCTTGTGATTAGTTTAAGAGTTCATATTTTGATCTTCTCTCAGAGGTCAATCGGTGGGCTCATTGTGGGGTCTCAAATCTGTACACACACACACTCACATCATGGGGACCTGCCTCCCTTATGGGCACAAAAATCAGGTCTCCACAAGATCCTCAAATCCTTTATTAAATGACAACGAGATTTAAAGTTCAGATATGGGTGCAAATAGGTAACGGTTGCTTTACATCAGACCTGGGCATTGTCCAGCTCCCAGGCCACATACGACCCTTTGTTTGACTCTGACCAGCCTCTTTAAGCTCATTTGGAATTACAAAATAAATATATTTTATCATTTTACCTCATGCATGGACTAAAGCTGCATTGCTTTTATTAACAGAGGTGTTTTTAATGACATTTTCTGTTCAGCAACCTTACTTTTTCACTTTTTACTGCTTTTTATAAAGAAATACAATTAATATTATGCAGAATTGAGTTAAGCAGTTTGGCCCTCCACTATATTTTCTGTTTCTCAAGTGGCCCCATGGAAAAATAATTGCCCAGCCCTGGTTTCCATTAAGGTTAGGCTGACCGTGAGTATAGTGAAGAGTAGGATCAGTCTCCAACATAAATAAAGGAGGTGTATGTTTGAAAACTGAAACTTCCCTGTCCTAAATGCAAACATCAGGTGCTTAAATCTGCTGAGACATTGACCTTGTTTCATTTGATCCAGAGCACCTCCAGACAGGCTGAGGCTCTCCCGCTGCGTGCCCAGGAGAGGCCCCTCTGCCTGGGGTCAGTGGCAGCACACGGCCCCTATATTTAGCCCTGCGTCTGGCCTAATGCGCACAAGTGCTTCCCTTTAGCACACACCTCTAATCTGATGCAGCTAATCTAAATCCAATCATGACATCACAAGGGAGGAGATTTCCCATGAACCTTTGCAGTACTGGTTCACCTGAAAGAGGGGAGTCAGGTGAACTGTTAACAGGGCACCAGAGGAAAGTAGTGACCCCAAAACTGATCTGAAGAGACACGCTGAGACACACACACTCATCACAAACAGACCTGGAGTTGTGTTTTGTTTCATTCACACGTTTAACACACAAACCCTGTATATTTAGGCTTTGCTCCTCCTTGTGGTGTCCAATCCAATCCACTTTATTTCCATAGCACATTTCATAAACAAACAGTTTCCAAAGTTCTGCACAAAGACATAATAATAATAACAACAATAATATCATGAAAAAATAAACACTCAGATTTAATCATACTAGTCTTAACACAATAAAACCAGTAAAATAAAATAAGAGCAAAAAACATAGAATATCAATTAATAAATAATTAAAACCAATAAAATAAAATAAAAAATAAGTCACATGGTGTTAAAAGCCAGAGAATAAAAGTGGGTCTTAAGACGAGACTTAAAACTCTCCACTGTGGGGGCTGTTGGGACATGGGGGGGCAGAGTGTTCCAGAGTTTGGGGCCGATCACAGAGAAGGTCCTGTCCCCCCTGGTTTTAAGTCTCGTCTTAGGGCCCACGAGCTGGAGCTGGACCTCAGAACGCACAGTGAGATGTAAATTTGTACGAGGTCCGAGACATACTGTGGGGACAAAACATTCAAAGCTTTAAAAACAAACAATAAAATCTTGAAATCAATTCTGAAATTAACAGGAAGCCAGAGCAAATACGCAAGAAGTGTAGTCGGTGCCATGTGGTAATATAGTGTCTTTTTAAACTCCATACACCTGCAGTAAAATCATTTAAAGGGCCCATCTCATGCAAAATCAAATTTTCAGAGCTTTCTACCTTCTAAGAGTGATGTGTGGGCCTTGGATATGTCACCAAAGTGGTTTTTAGATTGATTCTGTGTTTTTTTAACAAATTGCAGCGTATTTCTGCCCTGCCACCCTCCCACGTGACAATGAACTAAAGCTGCTACAACGATGACGTGGTCAGCTACACCTATGACGTGTTTGACGTAGCAGCAAGTGCTTCGCACCCTCCCCCGCTCCACCGTCTCCACCCCAGCTCCACCCCACTTCCGCTGACACTTCCCACATGAACACCTAAACAAAAGCGGCAGCATAAGCTCATTGTTCTACACTGCAGTGTACACGATATAATAAGTTTATCTACTAGTGTTTATTAATACTTTACCAATCAGTAATGTTCAGCTGATGTCGACATGGTGCTTGAGCTTCGTGCACTTCAAAGTCCTCGTCCGATTCTGGGTTCAACACATGCAGCTGAACGCGCTGTATCTACACGATGAGTAAAAGTTTATTCCTACCACTATCAGGGTGCACGCCTGTCTCCCCCTCCCTCCCTGAGATGGGCGGAGGAAGGGCGGCTCACTCAGAGCCTACATTTATTTAATTTATTTATTAGAGACAGGGACAGCGCACAATTTTTGCATTAACCTTAACAGGAGAGATGCATTGTAGCCCCAGTGCTAATTTCCACTTGTAGTCCCTGGGCAGGTTCATTGATTGATTGTATTTAACTGACCCTGGCTATCAACTGTTCCTGGAGACCTGTAGCATGTTTTGGGTTGATGGGGGAAACCGGAGAACCCGGAGGAAACCCATCCAGACATGTGAAGAATTATTTTGCATGAGATGGGCCCTTTAACTTAAAAACTACTGCTTCATGACATCACAAGGTGGACCAGAGCAATTTGAGCTTTGGAGATGTAAACAGACTAATAATAAAGGGTTTTTCAAACATGTGTGAATGAAACAAAACACAACTCCAGGTCTGTTTTTGAGGAGGGAACAACATGATAACATGACTTAAAGTTCACAAGAATCCATTTTGTGTAATTATAGGGCCTTTAAATATTCAAAAAAATTAACACTAGATATTTTCCCCAAATGTTTCAACCCTATGTGCCCGTCTAATAATCATCGGCTTACAAAGAGCGGTATTTTGCCTGATTAGTGTGTGTTTGAGTAATCCTGTTTGTCCCCTCCCCCTCAAGGAGGAGTACAAAGTAATAATATTACTCAGGTACAAATACAAAGTTAAAAGGAAGTGTGAAGTATTTGGGAAAACTACTGCTCAAGAGTAACTGTCATAGTAACACTCTGTAATATCTGATGTATAATTGGAAGTTAACTGGACAATAAAACATTACATTTAATGAGCAAAGGTCCAGGTACCATTTGTTCTTTTGAATTTAATTAAGAATGA